GCTCTGTATACGATTTTAACGCCCTATAAGTTCGGACACTTTTTAGCACGGACCCGACGTCCATATAATTGTAAGTCAATGCCCGGAACCATATAACATAACACATATTGAGAATACAACATATTTTTTTTTATTACATATTTTAACTTCAATAATACATATATACTAATATAATAATAATAACACATTCAGATATTTGTGTTTAATTACCTTCACCGTACTATAGGACGACGTTTTATCACCACGATGGGTAACACACCAAAACAGAGGTAGTTGAAAAAGTTGCGCGGTTGAAGGTTTTAACTAATACGAACAACCACATAAAAAGGATGTGCCACATAGTCAGTTCTACCGTGTGAAAAATAATAGGTGACATTGGGAAAACAATGAAATATCGACGGGAGCCAACAAACCTGCAGGAAATCAGATTACCATCTTCTCCTCTAATGTTCTTATGGAAATATACCTAATTTTTGGTATGGTTATAATTCGTGGGTCACAACTATAGACGTACTAACAAATGGACGTTAACGAATTAAATTTATTTAGTAATTAGTAATTATTAAGTTTAATTTTAGTTAACGTTAACAATTAAAATAACTTATTGAAAGTTTCGTAATAAAAACCTGAGGAAATTTCCTTGTGCTGCCATCTGTGAACATTATTGTGTACCAAATGCGTAGTTGTACCAAGGTATACCGACAGGGCAAACTGAAGGATAGCACTATACGAAGCTGAAAATCCTTTGTCATTTTTAAAAAGTATCATAGAGGACGTTACGACTTGCATTTAGTTTTTCTTTCGCACTCTTATAGTTTACGTCATTTTACAACAAGGAATAAAAATCTATCTGTAAGTACTTTGAGAAACTGAAATGCATCCTCAGTTACAGTTTTCATTTGCTTGCAACTTAGCATATTATACTTAGACAAGTAGGTAGGTTCTATGGGCTTACAATTAAGTGTAAATATTTCGTTTTTACGTCTGTGATAGTACATAGTATGTGGTAAGTAACTGTAATTTACTAGTAAAATAAAAGTAAAATAAAAGTGATGGATATACTAATTATAATAATAGTATACTATTATTATAATTAGTATACTTTTATTTTACTAGTAAATTACAGTTACTTACCACATACTATGTACTATCACAGACGTAAAAAAGAAATATTTACACTTTTATTAATGATTTAATAGAGTTTCGAATGTTATGAAGGATACATATGGTATGTGTATTAGTATTTCCTTTATGGCGGCCACTTATAGGCTTGTACCAATGTCAGTTTTATAAGAATATTATAAAAATTATGGCGATCATCGCCAATGTCAGCATGGGTATGTGTATCCTTTGCACTACGGTGAAACCTTAGAGGATGGATGTGGAACACGCTTTAAGTGGCTGTATGAAGCGACGTGATGTAATGTTGCGAAATTATTGGTTTTACCACTAAACATGGGGAAATAATTAAATGGTAATTATTTAAACTCAAACGCAATAAATTTTTAACTCAGATTAGTTACTCGAGCAACATTAAAGAAATTCTTATTTATAGGAGTTTTGCGTTGTGACTGCATTCCGAGTATTTCAAACAAATCCTGTGGCAAAACCCACATGGAGCTATGTCTACGTTTTGTTTTTTCATCCTGTAAGGTCTATTAATTATTATTTATTTATTATACACAAAAACATTACATAAAAGAAATACTTCACAACTGGCACAAAATTGTCTACTGCCATTATTGGTACTAAACAATTTTGTGCCAAAGCTATGATCTGTAATTGAAATATACGGTAGTCCAGATTCGGTACCGCGCTCTATTCAGGCTCTTCTTGTAAATAGGTCGACGTACATACCCTTATGTAGTCTAAATAAATAGCACAATGCATATTTAGTTTAGTTTATTGTTTTTATAAAGTGTTAGCTCCGTCGATAAAATCGACGATGACATTATATTCTTTTGACCAAAACCAAAACAAATAGAATTGACAAATGATTTAGGGTTTGACGTTTACATTTAATTAATGTTATTGAGACTTTTTCGTATCCTGGATAATTCATATTTTAAAGTAAAGACTTTACATAGCTCTTACTGAAACACTGAAGACTTAAACTGAAGGATCTTACACTAAAGACTTAAATCGAAACATTTTGTACTGAAGAAAAAGAGAAGCTGATGACTAGGCAGTATGGTCAAAACAAAACAAAAAGAATTTGTGCTCTGCAAGGTCTGGTGGCATGTATAGAAGTTTTTTTATAGGTATGTAGCAGAAGTGGTAAGGGTATGTGTAGTTAGTAAGCAGATATTTTGTAGATGTATACAAATACAATAGGGATAACTACAAAGTTGTACGTACTTACTGTTCTTTTCAAAGAATTAAATAAATAAATAAATAACGCACACACTCAACATAGCCTCGCACTATGGAAACCCTGTGTCGCGGGTGCCATGGACACACACATAGACAACCACAAATTACACCCAAACTCACGAGAGAAATAAATGTAAGCCATACAAACATTTCTCCCGGCCTGGGAATCGAACCTGGGACCTCTGCGTGGCAGTCCGGCATGGTAACCGTTCGGTCATGGAGGCAGTTATTATTAATGAATTTCAAAACAAAAGATTCAGCGTTCAAGTAAGATCAAAAGGATTGAACAATTGAAAAGAACGTGAAACTACACTACAATTAGTTAGATAATTCAATTTACGAAAATTCTACACTTATTGAGTTTTACCGCTGAGCGCTCGATTTCATAATAATAATGTTTACATAAAAGTGTTTTAAAGACTCGGCAATTTTGAAAAAAAAATGTATCTGGGTGACACTCCACTTGTGGGAACAAGCGCCTGGAAGCAACACATACAAAATGCAGAATCTCTTAAAGCTCACTTACTTATTTATAAAAGATACCTAAGTAGATAGCAATGGCGAAAGATGTATATTTGAAGGTAAGCCATTTTGCACTCAAAACTTTCTACTAATTTAGAGCTTAAAATTCTTAGGGTAGCCGATAGGAATCGTATTATAATGGAACCTCACTTAGATTCTAAAAAGCTAAAAAGCACTAAAAAGTTTATCATCTTTTATCACATTACTCTTCCATATCTAATTAATGTCTGTAAAACTCAATCTATATGTCTATTACAGTTCATTAAAGCTGATATTTATAAAACCAACTTTTAATTCGACTAAATGGCGAATTAATCTATTTTTTCGCATTTACAAAACGACCTTTGCCTAAGTTTAAGCACAAAATTAGAAAGTATACTGAAAATTGATATTCAATTATTTTTGTGAAATTACTCCACTAGTTTGTTATAAATATTAATACAAAGATCGAACATTCAGAAAAATTCCTTCTATCCGGCCAGATTCGAACCGACGTCTTTTAGCATGCCGTGTCAGACCCTATACCAACTAAACCAAATCTATGAAAGTTTTATAGTTTTCTAAAAAAAAAGTCGTTGAAAAACTAAATACAAAGACAACAACAAGCACATAGAAAAATTCGTGAGGTCCACTGGTTCGTTCCGTGGCTTAGTTGGTATAGCGTCTAGCACGGTATGCTAGAAGACGTCGCTTCGAATCCGGCCAGAGCGAAGGATTTTTTTCTGAGTGTTCAATCTTTGTATTAATAATTATAAGTAAAGAAACATTTTCATACACCTCGTATACACCTCGCATTTTTATCGTAAAGGGCTAAAATACAAAAATAGTGTTATCATCGAAGAAAAAGTTTTCCCCCGGTTTTACAAATCCATATTCCCAACAAGGACTTATCAAAAGACGTTTATTAGACTAGTTTCAAAATTGCATAATACTTTTTGATCAATCCAACATTGTTTAAGCTTAGGGCACTTAATACTGAAAAGCGTGGTGGCTCGAATTATCTGTCCGGAACTGTATTTAATTTCTTGCTTATGCTTAATCCTAAGCAATGTCCGTTATGTAAATACGAATAACTCGCTTAGCTCGTAATTTTTGCTTAATGAGACTGACAGTTCATTTTACAAATCTCAGTCTAAGAGCCTATATTATATTTAGTTTTAATACACCATTACTTGTAAAAGGCTTAAATAAAATAAAATTATTATTATTATTACTATGCACACGGCGTATTTTATACGCGACGACGACGCGCGTGTGAGCGCCGTAAATGCGCGTCATCTGTGTTTTAGTAACAGTAGAGCTCCTTGTGTAAAAATTTGTCCACCTGTATGGAGGACGTACTACCACCTCACTTATTTCTGCCGCCAAGCAATAATGTCAGCATTACTGTGTTCCGGCCTTGAAGGCTAAAGGTGCTGGTGAAATTACAGGCACATAGTACTTGTCGACTTATGTCTCAAGGTGACGGGCGCAGTGGCAGTGCCCCTCAGATCTTTGCGATTTAAAGCTCTGAATGGCACTGCAATCGTTATGGACAGGCGTATAGCTTACCTTCAGCTGTTCGCCGCGTCACTTGATATTATAAAAAAAATTTGCGCGCATACGCGCCGCAGACGCGTTGTAGTCGCGCGTATATATCGCACATTTTGATAAGACACATTTTAGTTTTGTTTGTTAATTTCAGTTAGTTTTTGACATGAAATTCTAAGTGTAAACTCCAGTGGAGTGTATAAGCTTTTTGCTTGCAACGCGATCTTTGCGCGCGTTTTAAGCGATTCACTACAACGCGTTTTTGGCGCGTATACGCGCAGATAATTCGCGTTCCTGAAACGCGTGTCGCCGGTCGGCGTTTATAAAATACGCCGTGTGTATGGACTCTAAGAGTAAGAATTAATTATACACATATGTGCGATCATTGTACTTTAGATCCTACTGAAAAAGACTTCACGCTTTTCTCATTTCTAACCTTCGTGTACTGTCTGATTTTTAAAATATAAGCCGTTGACAGTTGCTGTCATTAATTACAGTTGTTTTTTCCAGTGAACGTGCGTTGCACAAAATGATTTAGGTATGTAATCGCTTAATTTAAATTCTGTTTGCATTCAAGAGCCCAATCAATAGAAATACCTCTTGGTCCATAGAGCTGATATTCGTGAGTACCATATAATGCAATATACAGACGTTTTCAGCAATTTATGTATTGTGCACGAAGCACCGCACCTTCTGAAAATTCGTCGGCATAATTTCGAAGTTACTATTTTTTGTTACTATTTTTGTCGTAGAAATCAACTCCATGAGAAGATAACCGTATGAGATTGAAAACTATGAGAGCGCCGAAATAACGCGACTGAATTTTTCAGAAGGTATGTTGCTACACGTCACATAAGATCTACCATAAAATCGAAGTTGTATTCATGTCCACTTGGACGTCGAAGAATGTAGTCTGTAGTCACTAGCTTATACAAAACGTTCAAAGCTCAGCTTGATTATTTTGCAAAATGTTAAACTAAGAATACTATTGGATGATATTCATTTAATGTACCTACACGTTCTTTGGGATACTAGGTTTCACCCTATTTTAGTTCCCTTAGCGAGGATTAATTATAGACAAAACAGTTTTCAATGTAGAGCTAGCAAGAGCTTGGATAATGTGCCAAGCAATCATGACCTGGATGTACCAATGAACCTTATACTCATGGACATTCTATTTCATTTTATTGAAAAATTTTGACTGTTATTGGCGCAGGTATTGGGTTGCAATATTTATTGTTAACAAATACTGTTTGTTGTTCGTTAAACGAACTTTAAACTATAATAATTTATAATAAAGCATTAAACAAACTTTGTTTAGGTAATGCTCGTGTTTGATTTGTCTGAGGCTATAGGTGGAAAGTAGCAGCAGAGCTCTTTTAGAAAGAGTTCGTCCAGGGAAGTACTGCCGCTTTACTTATTTCTACCGCCAAGCAGTAATGTGAGCATTTCTGCGTTCCGGTTTTAAAAGGTAAGGATGCTGGTGAAATTACAGGCATATGAGATTTGTCAACTTATGTCTCAGGGTGACGGGCGCAGTGGAAGTACCCCTCAGATCTTTGCGATTTAAAGCCCGTGAGTGGCACTGCAACCGTTATGGACAGGCGTGTCAACTTACCATCAGGCGCGACTTGTTCGTCCCGTCACTTGAAATTATAAAAAAAACGTAATTGTCTTTGTTTCTTTCCCAGTTTTTATTAAATGGTTGAACATGTTGGTTTTCCACGAATAAATAAATAAAATAATGAATTCAGAAGAGAATGTTCTAGGTATTAAATAGGTAGTAAGTTTACGTCGATAAGATAACGTACCTGCCAAATGAGGCGAATATGCCAAACCGTTGTTATTTGGTTTTAAATGGTTATGTAGTACGCAGGCTTAATCTGCGCTCGGAAGATAGAATATAAAAAAAGTATACAAATTTAGGTTTCCTAATAAAATAAAAATAGGTAGTTAAAACTTGTAAATCTAAATTTATTTTAAAAATATCAAAGATCAGCACTAGGCTTTGTCAATAGGTTCTAAAATAAAAAAGGGATTTACAATAGATTTTGTCAAAAATTTCAATTCCGCGCTGTATCGTGTCTGGCTCAAAACTTCAGCAAGTTCCAAGCTCCGGCAGCGTTGCTTCCCTGGACACAAATTACTTAATAGCCCTGGGCGGCATTTCAGCAGGTGTCAACCCTAATAATAAAATAGTTAGTACTTCATTAATATGCTAAATATACACATAAGACATGTCACAAAACAGAAACATTCATTGTATTTCAATTAGCCATTTCTTTTAGTAAAAGTTAAGGGCATGACTAACTTCAATGTGACTTTTAATACCATTGACTTACAATTATATGGACGGTGGGTCCGCGCTAAAAAGTCCGAACTTATAGGGCGTTAAAATCGTATACAGAGCGTCATTCACGCTCTAGTCTTCGTTTGTTCGACTGACAGCGAATCAAGTAAAATTAGACAGTACTGCGATGACATTACAATTTAAATTCAACGTTTTAGCTTTTTCATATTCCTTTACATGTCACACGTTTAAATAGGTTGACTTGGGACATTTTTTTCGTGGTTTTTGTATTAGACCCGTCGTACATTTATTTGTAAGTCAATGTTTAAATACTATACTTTTAATAGAATAAAGGGCACAATAAATTGCTTTTTTTTTGTTATATATGAAGTAATTGATTGAACGAAGGGTACGGATCCGTACGTTACTAAGTAAAATCATTTGATATTAGTCTTTTAATTTGATAAACCGTTTTTTTGTATGGTTGAACTGAAACCCTGATGTCAGTTATGCATTTTAAGCTTACTGTACCTACATCCAATCTCAATAACTCAATTTTGATAAAAACGTTATCAATATTGATAAAAATATTATCAATAATAATAATTGAGCCTTTTTACGTTCAGAGAGTTGACTTATGTTACTAGTACGATTTATTTGATTTTTAATTCGAGACTTAAACATGAATAAAACATATTTTAATTACTTATTTTTGGAATCTGGACCAACTCACTGGATTGAGCTTCAAAATTCCAAGATCCTTTCTACAGAACTTCATCGCTATAGTAGGATCGTACATGAAGCTATTATAAAATTAAAAAACACCGTAATTTCAACCGAGAAGACGGTTTTAAGCTTTCATCGTCGTGAGATCCACTCATCGGCAAATGTAAACGACATCAAGTATCGTCCGACAAGTCGACGGATGTCGTGTGTGTTGTATGTCGGTCTAGTGCACAAATAAATAATGAAGATCGAATGAATGTTGACACCCGCCACTTCATTATCTTTGACACCATGGACGTTGCAATGTGTCCGAAACGTTGAGGTATTTAAAATGTGTTTTATACACGATTAAGTTCCGAACTAAAAATCAAATAATGTGTGAAAATAGTGAAAGTTAAAATTTACGATTAATCGTGAAAGATTAATGTACGATTTACTTAGGAAAAGTAGATTTTAAATAGGTATTCAACTTAGAACAAATGCGCACTTTTTAATAAAAAAGAACATTGGTTTATAAGAAAAAATATCTACCTACCTACCTGTGTTCGTTGATTTAATTGATTTAATGTGCCATGTTATTTAAAAACAAAATGAATACTAACGCCTAGCGCCTTATAAAAGTAGCCCCGCTCCACACTCTGGTGGTTTATTTGCTAATCACAATTTGAAAATGTAAATGGAAAATTCAATCCAATGTAACTGTTGCATAAAAACCTAGTAAACGACATACAATAAAGCGTTCTGTAGTCAAACCTAACATGCTCTTGACCCTGTGCTAGTTATACTAGTTTGAGATTTAAATTTAACTCCAATTGCAGCAAGAACAGTCCAAAGTCCAAATTGTCAAGTATCACGTGCTTTTCACTGTATTGTAGTTTTATCTATTTAGAAATTTAATCTTTATGTACTTAATTATAAATATCAGCTCTTTGGAATGTTTGCTCTAACATTTGAATTTTTCATTGAACACGGAAATTATAACATTCGAAGTGGATAATGTTTGGGATTAAAAATAATAGTCGTTGTGACTTAGGGAATATTGCAAAAATTCCACACGTTTGCATGGAATACTTTTACCACTGTCGCCTAAGTTCGTCAAAATAACAAAATATCGTTCAGTAGCCGTTTCGTTCAATGGACCGTGAAAATCAAAATGGCGAGTGTATCTTCCAGACGAATTTCGTACCAAATAAATGTACTTTTTAAATTGAACTATTAACTATATGTACATATATGCTTGAAAAAATTGTACCTCCATCAGAACAAAATTATAGCAATGCCAAAGGTACATCCCGCCATATTGACACTAGAATGGCGAGTGTACCTAAATTTTGATTTATTAATTATGAAAGCTTGTTATTCCAAAAAAATGTACCTTAATAATATCCGAAAGAAAAAGAAACGCCAACTCGACATGTTAAGTTTCTGACAAATTACTAACTAACTAAATTTAACCGCCATAGATTCAAATCACAGAACAATAAATACAGTAAAGTACTTAGTGGGCGTGCTACGTTTTCCAACAGTACGCAGTGTTCCACATACTTGAGCTCAGTCCGCCATTTTCGCTTTGTACGATATGGTCATGTCAAAAATATAGTTATTTATTTCCTTATACCGACAATACCGTTTATTAAGACTTATTTCCTAATTGGTGCTAGGTGCTAGCACGTTATCAACCTTGTCTCGTTTTTTGATATAATTGAATAACGCTCTATAGGTTTTACTGATTTATTTCCAATATTTTTTTTACATTAAATACACAGTGCCGTACTGAGTTATTAACAGTGGTAACATTTTCTTACTCAAGAAATAAATTAGACGCAATTCCATGAAATGCTATGGTAAATAAAAGGAACTATTACAATAAAAAGCTAAAATAACGTCATCTAGTAATAATTTAATTTATTAACATTAAAATCACTGGCAACATTGTAATGCTGCGATTGTTTGGATTCTCACAACTTGTACTTGCAGTACCTATGATTTAAATAAAATGACATGGAGAGTGTAATTTTTTCTATGATAATTTCTATCATTTTAACATTGCAAATACAACATTGGTAATGATACTGATTGGCTAGTAAATAAGGAGTAAATCCCAGAAATGTTATGGAAGATACTTCTTATTTTTTTATTTCCTAGATCCTATTTTACTTGGTGGATTCTTTTAGATAAGCGATAAGATCTGCGCGTTCATTGGCTTTCTTGAGACCAGCAAACACCATTTTGGTTCCAGGAATATATTTCTTGGGGTTCTCCAAGTATTCGAATAAGGTGTCGTCACCCCAGGTGATACCTGTAAAAAATACAATATATTTATAAATATTATCAATATATAGACAACATGAGATAGTTTTAAATGTGTTTGAAGTTATTTGGTTTTTTTCCAGAAAATATAATTTATATTATGAGATCTAATGTAAATTATATTAGGGCCCTGATTTTAATTCTAATCGGAATCGATCCGCGACTCTTAAAAGACGCAGTTTCCGATCGGGAGAGGCAATCAAAATCAGCCAGCGTATTACCTTTTGTCGTCATCATTACCTAGTGCCGTTACTAAAAGTTGTTTCAAAGGCGACTCAAAAAAAAAATCTCGTATGAATGTCAATTACTACGTTTGATTCTCGGACTGTCACTGACATTGACGCTTGAAGTTGATTACAACTGCATGCAATTAATTCGTGAAGTTGATTACAACTTCAACAGCAAACATGCAGTCAGTCTGTTAGCAGCCTTATCTGCAGGGCCGCGGGGGTCACTTTAGATACAAAATTGTTAAATTAATACTATAATAAATCATAGATGTTTAAAAATTCCTCAAGCTCGCGGTCACACATCTCTCACGGCCCAAACAGAATCACATTTTGTACCCCATGGCCTCAATGAATAAATTTGCTTGCCGTTCAACCTGTGAAGGAATGCATAGTTAGTAGAGTAGGAAGGCTTGTATGAAAGATCGATGAATATACATGAAAAGAGGTTTTCCAAGATCGTGCAAAGTCGCGATCGAAAGTTTCTGCCGACTCAAATGAGAAGGTTTGAGTGATGTATGTATAAATATCTTTTTTCCATTTAAACCCCATTCAAGTGATAAAGCTATTAACACAATGCTGTTAAAACTCCATTTGGCTTTTGGCCCGTTTTTCAAATCACAATAATATGTTATACACCACTGAAGTAGCAAAATTATACAACTGCCCTGATTAGTTATATCTGAGCTGATTAAACATCAAGGTTACCTAAAAATATCCCCATAACCTATAGCACATTCAAGTTATCTTTATAAATCGTAAATTTATGATTGATGATATTCTTGCACCATAATGGGATTTTTATCAATGTTATCAATGACAATTGTTACATGACATGATTATTACGTTAACCATTCCAAAATAACTATACAGGCAATAGCATAATTCTTCTGTAATATAACAATACCTAATTGCACAAATGTATGAAATTGAGAATAAATAACAATAAATGACTGAATCCACTCATCTCTATACCACTGTGATAGGAATGGTCCAAAGCCCAAAGTGTCAATGCACTCTTACCTGTACTTTATTATTAAATAACAATTCCCTTGCAGTCATAATATTTTTATTCTGCACAAATTTTCACACAAAGATGAAAAAATTTGGAGCAATTTTTAAAATGGTAAAATAATGTGTAATAATAAACATACCCTTAGACTTGTTAGCATCTGAGTAGGAGAAGCCAGGTGCCTGGCCAGTTTTTCGGCCAATTAAACCATGTAGATTGGGGCCAACTTTGTGCTTACCACCAGCTTCAACCTGAAAAGCGAAGAAATCCAATCTTTAAACACAACAATGTTCTGCCTTAACACATTCATGGACAGTAATAATGTTTACCGTAAAATTAAATGTCAGAATATAGGGTACCCCATTTCACCTTATGGATCTCCAAAAATAAATTATAGGCTTTACAATGTGATTTCCAAGTGCTTTCTGTGTAGTTGCTGCCTGCTGCTTTTCCATAGAGAAGTATCAACAATGTGCTATCAAAATTCAATGATTTACTTTCAACATTTCATATTGCACTATGGCACAAAGGAAAGTAGTAACATTTTTGTATACGGTACTATTTAGGTGCTGTCTATAACCGGTTAGGTAATTTACTGTGTACAGGTAACCGTCAGATTCTAGATAATTTTCCTTTGTTTCAAACCAAAAATCTATAATGTATAATATGCCAGTACACAAGAACAATGGGTTCTCTGTCATACTGGTATTTCGTTATGTAAGGTATCAGCATTGACAAGTATTTTATAAATGACAATACAGTAAAACATCAATATATCAATACATCCAGTGCAGTCATAATTAATTTTTTAGGAAAATGTGATGATAATGCAACCCATTATAATAACATTACACAATAATAAACATTAATTAAATCAAATTATAATATTTTTAACCGACGTCAAAAAAAAGGAGGACGTTCTCAATTCGACAGTATGTTTTTTTGTATATATGTTATGTGATAACTCCGGTATTTGTGAACCGATTTTGATGATTCTTTTTTTGTTGGAAAGTGGGTACCTCCATAGTGGTCCCATTTAATCTTGAAGAAAATCATCCACCTCTTAAGGGTAGCTGTTCACGCATGAAGATTCATTTTTATAAATAGCACAAAAATTTTTTATAAATAGCAATTATTTTAATGGTTGATTTTGGTATTCTCCAATTCAAGGCGTTTTCTCTCTCAATATACTTTGAGTAGTGAGAACTTTTATTATCTCCTGTGTCAAGTTCCGTATAGTGGCGAACTAGGGGATGAATCCGAGTTTGTGCACTTTCCGGTTACCGATTTCAATAAAACTTGGCAAATAGATGTAATTCCACATACTTTTGAGTTCAGTTGTTTTAGTAGTCAGTACTGATACTATTATTTACTACTTTGATTTCATTAATGTTTAATATTATGTAATGTTATTATTTGAATGGGTTGAATATCATATCACAAATAAAATAAAATACTCTCATAACTCAAAATTGTGAAATTGAGAAAGTACAATATACAAATAAAAAAAACTGAATGGATATTATTACGAATAATGTGGTTATTTTTATTTATACATATTACTTAATTATCCATTTATAAATGAGAATATATTATTATGTTGGGGAATATTTTAATCTATGTGGCAAATTATTTTTATCTGTGGAAAGAGGATTTCTGACGATTAAAAAGATAAGTAATTTTAGTCAAAAAACTGTTTAAATATGTAAATTTTTACTCACCGTGTGGCACTGGGCACATCTTTGTACAAAGATTTTTTTGCCGTTTTCTGCATTACCTGCTGGTACACCCATGATTCTGTAAACACATTTTAACAAAGGAAAACTATGAAAAAATGGTACATTTTTGTATTTAATATAGAAATCGCATGACTACGTGACGGACTCCTAAATGCATTGTAATTGAAATGCCTAATTAACATACAGTTTGCATACAATATCTAATCTGCAGATGAATACTATACTATTTCATATAACTAAGGAAAAACACAATTAGAACACGGACTAGGTCAGTATCAATGTCACGAGGGAATTCCAAGTCAGTCACAGTGGCGTAATGACATCATTACGTAAGTCACCGATATATGCAATTTCCCAACCTTATCCTAGCCAGCAATCACTAAAACACTTTATTGGTGGGATTTGCATAATAGATTTCATTATATAACCATGTTTTCAGTAATAAAATATGAAATTTCATTTTTTAAGGTTATTTCATCACCAAGGACATTGATGACTTTGTGTCCTTAAAACGAACACATTACATTTAAATTACGTTTGAATTTTTATATAAAATACTAATGTAAAAACTTATGCAAAAAATACTCACTTTTTAAATTTGAAGAAAGTTAATTAAAATTAGGCGCCGAGCGACCACCTCCTAAATTTCGATTTTCGCGACAATCAATGAACGAATGAGTAACACGAGAGCACTGATTAACTTGACGTGTATGGTGGCGTTCGATCACCCGAACCAAAAACGAGGTTTATCGACGAAAAGCGAATGAACCTGGCGCTAAATTCAAAATTTACTCGGACTAAAATATTGCCGTGAGAATCGATGTTAGAGCGGTTACATACGGCAAGTTTTAGCAGCGCTGCAAACGCGATACGGTGATGCAGTGGCGATGCAATCACTAATCGTCTACCTTTACACACACGCGCGATTTTAAGCACCAATGCAAGCGCGCGACCGCATCGATACAAACGCGCGATTTCATCACTACACTTGGGATTTTATGGCGATTGCATCGATGCAACAGCGCGTTTACAAAAAAGTAGCCGTGTGTAACCACTCTTTTTGTTATTTATTTCTCCACAGATATACAATTTATACTTATTTTAAAGACCTTGCGTACCTGGGCATCAGGTAGTTGAATTTTTTCGAGAAATTCATTTTACCAGTCGCTAATATGCTCTTAAAATGTTGGAATCCCATATTTTTAATTCCCCAATCTAATCCCATTCTTTCTTTACAGATAAACCATGGGTGTGCCCGCTGGTAACGCAGAAAATGGTAAAAAAATCTTTGTGCAGAGATGTGCACAATGTCATACGGTGAGTATTTTTAACCGACTTCAAAAAAAGAAGGTTATACTTTCGGCTGCCTGTATAATTTATGTATCGTTGCCGATTTCTCTGTCAATAGTGGACCGATTTTGAATTTTGTTTGTTCGTAAGGATGCACTCTAGTGGTGGTCCCATTGTCATCAAGTCAGAATCTGTTGAGTGGATCCCATGGAAATCGAGGAAAATCCTCAAATTATAACATTTATATGAATTTATAAATATGAATATGAATTTATAAATTATAAGGCATGTCCAGTGTACTTACCGATTTTTCCGAGAATTGTGGACTGATTTTAAAATTTATTTTTTATTTGAAAGTATACACTCGAAGTAGTCCCTGATGCCGACGATGCCGTTCCGGGTCCGTTTTGGCTATCACAAATTAATAAAATATTTTTCGCAAATAACAGTCGATTTTTCACTTGACACAACACATGCAATGAACAAATCACCGTCACCATGACAATCAGAAAAAAAGTATGAAATGTACAAATAGCCGTAACAACACCATTATCAACAAGAAGTCAAAATCTAATGAGGGCATCCCATGGAAATCGAAAAAAGCCGATAAGCAAACTATTGAGGTCGGTTTTTTTTTAAATAAAAAAGTTACAATTATAAACTAATAGAATTACATACAGTTACAGGAACTAACTAGGCATTTACACAGAAAACCAATTAGCTCTTCCATACAAATGTTCATACCTCACTCGACCAGAATATATTTTTCGCTATTTGAGAGGGATCCTCGAAGTAAAAGTTGCTCATAATAGTGGTAAGATGTAGATCTACCCCACAGTATTTAATTCCTTGCTTATTTTTTAAATTACAGGTTGAGCAAGGTGGTAAAAATAAAGTTGGACCGAATCTCTTTGGTATAGTTGGACGCAGAACGGGAGCAGCCTCAGGCTTCGCTTACTCCGACGCTAATAAAAATAAAGGTTTTTCAGTTACAATTCCGTTTCTCCAATTATATAATCTGAAAACCTATGTTCGAGGTTATAATCAATTATATAATCTGAAAACCTATATTCATCATCGTCTATTATCAATTACTTTCGTTTCTTATTTCAGGTATTACTTGGGATGATGAATCTTTATTTGTATATTTGGAAAACCCCAAGAAATTCATGCCTGGCACAAAAATGGTCTTTGCTGGCTTAAAAAAAGCGGATGAACGGGCAGACCTCATTGCTTACTTAAAATCAAACAAATAAAAATGTATTCCTTATACCTATTCCTTCACATTGACAAGAAATTGTCATCTAAATATAATTAACTGCGTCTAATTTGTAATGAAATGTTATTAATAGTAGTCAATAAATTAATTGATTTTAATAAATAGATTCCTCACTTACGAACCTCAATAAGTAAGATATTATTTTAAAATTGTCTTTGCCTACACAAGAGAATGCCCAATCTGTTAACATGCTGTGCCTTTCAGTGCTTACCGTCTTCTAATAAATCACATATAATATTTATACATTTTCATCTATTATTTATAAGCACACTGTACATTCCTCGAAATGGACATAGATTATACGTGAGGCGCACTATAAGTTTCCGGAATGAATAAGAAAAAAAAATATAATAAATAGAAATTAATTTATTGTTTCTCAAAATGTTCTCCGTTAGCGTTAACGCACTTTTTCATACGAATGAACCAATTTTGAAAACATTTATGCCACTCCTCCGTGACAATCTCTGAAACATATTTTTCATTCTCTTCGACAGCCTATTCAGGTGGTGAAAATCGTTGACCGCGTAACTGGTTCTTAATTTTTGGAAATAAAGTCACAAGGGCCAGGTCGGGACCAGTATGTGGGATGGCTCATAAGGTCAACGTTGTTCACCTTAAAACATGCATTTGCTGTCTGGCGGTGTGATAACCGACATTATCGTGGTGCAAGATGATACAGCGTTTACGGTTATTTTTACGGAGTTTGTCAATAACTTCCGGTAAATAAATGGTCGTGTAGGTACTAATCACTACTCACGATACAACGGTTGTCCAAAGCAACAGCAGCCACGTGTCCAGTTGTAATAAAAAAAGAAGCAACCATCCGCTTAGAGGCACTTTGCACGCGCGCATCTTTGGTTGGTTTCAATAAATATAATAAATATCTCGAAAACGATTTCGAATAATGACAAGTTGGGTAACTTTTTAGCGCTGACCCGACGTCTATATAATTATAAGTCAATGATATAAACACAAATAAATATATCAACAATGAAACCTTCTATTATGAAGTAGCATATCAAATAAGTATACTAATTTGCTAATTTGTGTTATGAAATAATATTAGTAGTTTTGGTCATCCATAAGCGGCCACATTTTCTAAAGTTAAAAACAATATGGCTGGCTGAAACATGATGAATGATCACCTTATTAAAAAAACGCATTACTACTTTGAAGCTCTCATTCGGCTCGTTTTATTAACTTAGTGTGCGGTCCAGTTTAATATAACGTAGTTCACTAAGTAGTCTGTTATTTGTGTTTAGTCAACGAAACATCATCTTATTTAAGAGCTAGACTCTTGTCGGTGTAGCCTTTTCTACTCCTCACGGTTCACAGCCAGTTCTTTTACGAAATGCAAAGCCAAAATACAAAAAAAAAATCACCAGTCTGACAGTCGCGAATTTGACGTTTGAAAAATTGAATTTGACGTATAAGATAGTGTTTTTGCGATGGATGATCGAAATTCCTCGCTATTTATTTGCTAATTTGTACGTAATAATCTAGGATTAATTTCATCTATAAAATCTACACACTGTTACCCATTTTTATAAGTTAAACTTGGAATAATTAAAGTATATTTTTGTTAGAAAATTAGTGGTTTGAAAATAAGTACATTCGCTCTCACACATAGGCAAGTGAGCTGAAATTGTTGGATCAGTTTCAACATTTCTTAAGAAACTGGTAAGTTTTGAAAGACTTATCCCATACTTAAGCTTTGGACAAATTATAGGTTCTATTTATAAAGGAAACGGCGCGGTTACGTACTCCAAACGGGCTATAAATTTTTTTGTTTGAATATTATTTTTAGACTGCGTCTTACGAGTATGAATTTGATTTCTTTTATTTTTTCAATTATCAGATGATAACGGCATCAAATATTTGAGAACCGAGTGTTACTGCTGCCTAACAGTAATGGCCAAAGCATCAGTTGTGTTGAGCTTCCACGAGGTGCTTTTACATAATTCAGATCTTCAACTTTTGGATGGTCCGTACTGGCTGAACGACAACATAATATCCTTTTACTTTGAATATTTAGAAAAAAACCTATTCAGTAGTGCAGAAGAGATACTGTTTGTCTCGCCAGAAGTAACGCAGTGCATCAAAATGGTCGATACTGAAGAAATAAAAACATTCTTAGAACCATTGGGTATACAGACAAAGCAATTTGTATTTTTTGCATTGAATGACAATGATTCTCCAGACAGAGCGGGAGGCTCACATTGGAGCCTTTTGGTTTATTCTAAACCTGAAAGTTGCTTTTTCCATGTTGACTCGTCATCTGGAAGTAACCATAATGTGGCGTGGGAATTTGCAAGCCATTTGATGTCTTACTTTGTCAGAGGAGGTAAGTTTCTTTATTTATTTATTATATTACGTATTGCTTACAGATTAATATCTAAACACAATAGTAATTCTTAAGCTAATATCATAGATTGAAATAATAATGTAATCATATTAAAAAAAAGAATTGATACAAAATAAATTGAATGAAAATTTTACAAATCATTGAATTTGATATATTGCATAAAATAAATTGAATAAAAATTACACAAATCATGGAATTGGACATGTCGCAAGTACATTATTAACAATCAAATTTTAAAACATTGACATAGTATTAATTATTCGGGATGCACAATACTTATATGATGCTACTGTCTCTGATCAATGACTCGAGATATCATCCTGCGGAAACCGTTAAATGGGCTTCTGAGCATGCAAAGACATTCAAAGAGGAGTCAAAGAGAAGCATCTGATTGAAGTACTTAAACGCATGGGGCAAAGGAGCCAGATTACTTACCCTAGAACATGTAGAAGGTATTGCAAACAGCCCTCTTCTGTGAGGCTGCACCAGGTTGGTCCTAGGCACCGAAAAGCCTATCATGGATAGTATGAATGGATTTTACAAGATTCCACGCACCAAGCGAAATATGTAGGTCACAAGAGCTAGATTGCGTCTTACTTCCAGCATTCTGTAAGTTTCATAATAATTACTGATTTTTACTAGAAATGTTGGTAAGTGGCTAGAGCAGATGAGGACATTACCATCAATTTCCTCAAACCTCATTAGTAAATAATCATACATAATTTGTCTGTTGTCATGCCAACTGAGTTCCATTTTACTTTCTTCGACTACTCTTATCAGGCCTCAGTCAGTTTAAATTTAGTATATTTTCACAGGTTTGGAAATTTAATGGCTATATTGTCTGAATTTTTGTAAGCAGCTTACTGGCCTTTCTGGTTACAAATAACTCCTGATTATTTATATAGTTTAATTGAAATTTTTATTATTTTTTGTTACAGCTTCAACTAATTTTGTAAACAAAGAATGCACACAACAGAACAATGGTTATGACTGTGGGGTGCATGTCATCTTTAATACTGAGAGAATGGCGGAATATGCCCACAAATATGGACAAGTAGCCACTTGCGATATGCAAGTCAAAATCAATCCTTCAGCTAAGAGGAGGGAAATACTCACAATTATACATGCTCTCTCGAATCATGGTGTTGTTCTTTAAAAGTTGGTGTGCTTGCCAAATCCATTATGTAGGAAGAACATACAGGCAACTTAAATAGTAGATTTGTTTTACTTACAGACTCGGTTAATTATTTTATTATTTTATACTGATTGATTTCATGGAAATAAAACAAAAACCATTTATAATAATTATATACAAGTAAAAGGTCATTACAAAAAATTACATATTGGATTTGGCAAACTTGCCACGTATGTTGTTTTTTAATATCTTTTGTTAATAGTACATAATAATCATTAAAGTTTTTTATTCAACACAAATTGGCCTTCACTAAATTTCTAAACTCCTATCCAGATTTTAAATTATTTAAGTAGTGTACACAATCAAGGCTTTATTTAAAAAAATATAACAATAAATACAATTTGTTATCCTTGCAACTGTTACATCAATGAAAAATTAGCTTTAGAATATATTTTTTAATCACTTAATAAGGCAGTTTAATAATGTGTTTCAATGACCTTTTGTGTAAATGGTAGGTAGGGTACTTTTATGTAAACTCAGTTACCCTGTTACTGTAGTCAGACTCTACCCTGTACAATCTTTGTACTTAAGACTTATGGGGCTCCACCCACCCACCACATACTTTATCTAGTTCCTCAGCAACAGCTAGACAGAGTCTGTCATTGTTATGATTTGCTATCACCTGTATTCCAATTGGTAGACCTTCTCTTCCCAATCCTAATGGTATAGTAGTAGCCGGTAAGCCCAAACAATTGATAATCGCAGTGTAAGTGAAATTCATCGCCTTCAATAATGGCTCATTGTGATACGGTGCTGGCGTCGGGTGTGTGGGGTACAGGAACACGCCATCATCGCCAAGCATGTCTTTGAAATATTTCTCTAAATCGTCACGCGCTTTTAAGAAATGGTTATACTTATCACTGCCAAATTCACTTCCGGTGTAATCGAGTAAAGCAGTCACCAGCCCAATCAGCGTGTTACCAGACAATCCGAAGATGTTTTTAAAAATTTCAAGGGTTATACTTGCTACGGTACTATTTTCCATGATGTATTCTCCAAACTTCTTTTTGTTTTTCATTGTTGACATCCAAATCGCTGTGGACTTTTGTAATTTTGCGATCTTTTTCTCTTGAGCCTTAATTTGAAACTTGACGTTTAAATATCCGACTACGTACTTCATCGCCGCTACAATGTCAGGGTCAACAGGGTCTAAAAGGGGCGCGTTGTTGCTGAATTGGTAGTAAACTTTCAATTTTGTGACGTCCACAGGCTCGTCTAAGTTTAATTTGGAGCTGTTTTCGCCGGACAAAATCTTGAGAAGCGGTTTCAGATCTACGGCGTGTCTAGTCATTGGACCCAAACCTAAAACAAGATATTTATTATAATTTTAACACGAATTTTTTTATGTGCTTGTTAAAGACACGACCTTTGTATTTGGTTTTTTCGACGACTTTTTAGTCGTAGCGCCATCTATGAGAAATCTATGAAAATTTTATCACCCAGTTAGATACTTTTACAGCTACCGGCCCTGGCGAGAGATGTCGCTATTCACTGTATTTTTATTAAATTGATATTCAATTCTTTTTTGTTTAAATTGCGTGAGGTCCGCTGGTTCGTTCCGTGGCTTAGTTGGTATAGCGTCTGTCACGGTATGCTAGAAGACGTCGGTTCGAATCCGGCCGGATCGAAGGAATTTTTTCTGAGTGTTCGATCTTTGTATTAATAATTATAACCAACTAGTAGAGTAATTTCACAAAAAATAAATTGAATATCAATTCAATAAAAATTTAAAAGATATTTGTTATCATGTATAAAGAGCGTCTAACGGTCAAGACGTTATCGTCTTCATTCCTAATGTACAACTTAAGTATGTGCCATATCATGGAACAAAAATCTTTGTAATTGGTTAGTTCAGAATAAACCGACAGGTCCCATGGTCACGACAGATATGGTATTAGTCAGCATTAGCCAAAAAATAACACCAAAAAGTATACCCGACACGTGTTTCACCCTCTCCGAGATATTCGGGATTTCGTTGTTCGACACGCTCAGAATCACACTTTCGTATAATCTCGCGATGCACTCCCATTGTATAACTCTGGTCATTCCAACGCGCCTTTCATTATTAGGCGAATGTGTGCGTCCGTACACGTCGCGTGCACACATACAAGCCGCGCTGTTCGTTTGTACAGAGTTACCATACTTTTATTTTACTATGGATATAGTTAATCTATTAGATGGCATAGACTTTTCTAGAGTCTGTAATAGATAAATTCTACCGTAAAGCAAATACGTATTACCTAAGAATGAATTAAGTAGCTCCGTATCCGGGATCGGATATTGTCCAGCGTTGGACACCACACATCGAGATGGCTTGTGACCAAATATTCCATTGAAGAAAGCAGGCATTCGAATTGAACCACCTATATCGGAACCTGAAACATTTTCAACATTTATTATTTTATTAACAATACAGGACAGTGTTCAGCTAGCTAGCAGCTTGTAAATAATTGATTCTGCCATTCAGTATAATACACCAAATAAATGTAATAATAATAGTGTGCCAGATAACAACACCCAATTGTCTGCTCTCAAACTAGGGAATTCCCTATGCTATGAGTACCACAGCATCGGAATTATGGGCCTTTCCTAGAACACCCAGACCAGAATCTATTTAAAAATGTTTATTTCCCAAATTGGCCCTACCGGGAATCGAACCTGGGACCTTCGCGTCTAGCGCCGACAGTGTAAACCGTCCACCGAGGTCGTCAAATATTAAAATATAGAATATTCGCTTTAATTTTCAGTATTATTTAAGGTCGACCACATTCAATTTGTCTGATAAGCTATTGGAGTAAATTAAATTAAAATTAAGGGTATTGTCTGTAGCAAATATTAAAAATTACTTCAAAAAGGATCGATAGATATTAACAAAAGAAATGAAATATTATATAAACGATGACACGATTCAGGTAGTCTTTGTACTTTCAACAATAATTCACAGAGTTATTATTCACGTTCTCTTACCTTTTACTGACGACCATTCAATACGATACTGAATAAAAATATTCTCTCTGTTATTTAAACTACATGGTTTATAACTCTGCATCTAATAACCATGAATAATTTCCTCACTGTTACCTAGTCATGTTTAAAACTTCACCCACGTAAAGGAAAAAATATTTATCATTTCCGATGTTTCATTGAATCAATATTACTCGTGATCACAGTTTAACCCGTTTGGACATGAATTGTCTGTTTAAAGTTTCGAAAAGAAAAAAAATCGCTTAGCTTATAAAAGCCGTTTTCGTCGTGGTGTTATTTTCTCTCATAACATATGAGATTTTAATATACATACCAATTCCAAATATGCTGCCAGCAGCAGCCTGCATGCAACCCTCTCCTCCTGACGATCCACCAACGATTCTTGTGGTGTTATAAGGGTTATTAGTTCTACCGTGAATGTGGTTATGGGTTTCCCACCTGAAAACAGCCATCAGCTTTATTTTGAAACTACAGTACCGACACGTTATGACAGATTACAATAGTGAGTCAAATCTCAATTCATTATCGAAAATGTAATCAAATGCGAGTCGCATCTAGAAGTTTTTAGATTTATAACTAGTATTGCAAGGGGTAGCTGATTAAAAAGTTTTAATAAAACGAAAATGTTTATTTAATATATCGTCAATTCGAAACTGCTTTGTTTTGCATTGAGCTTTGACGCGAGTTTGCCGGAGGTAGAAGTTGTGCAGGGGGTGATTCACATAATCAAACCGTTCCGATATCGTAGTGATTTAGTTGTTGAACTGCTTTTTTCGTATTTACGTGTGACAGTGAACGTCAACGAGTCCAATTTTAAAGTTGTTCGAATTTCGTAAAACAAATGTCGAGGTGTATCGTAAAATTATATATTCCATAAATTTTACTGCACGTCTCTATTGACAACAATGTACTTCAATTAGCTCCTTCAACATAATTACCTCTCTGACGATTTACATCAATACCACGTCAGTTGAAAGTGAACCACTTTATAATAGGTTCATTTTATGCCTATCACTTACCACATGCACAATTCAGGTACATTAGTTAAGCCGATAATAATTGCTCCCTTTTCTCTCAAAAGCCTGATGCTTTCAGCGTCTTCTTTAGCTATATAGTCCTTACGTAGCACTACTCCAGCTGTGTGATGGAGACCTGAGGAAAGTTTTAAGAAATGGCTTCATTGCCAACTGCCTCCGTGGCCGAACAGTTACCATGCCGGACTGCCACGCAGAGGTCCCAAGTTCAATTCCCGGGCCGGGAGAAATAGTTGTATGGCCTACAATTATTTCTCTCGTGAGTTTGGGTGTAATTTGTGGTTGTCTATGTGTGAGTCATTCATAATTTCAACAAGATTTTTCTAACGATATTCAATAACAAATTGACTGAAAAAAAGTACCAAATGTCTTGTGTTGAATACTCAATTTAAATTATCAATGAAACAGTTTTTTTTGTATTATCATTTCAAACAATTGACTAATTTCGTAGGCTCTTTTTTCAAACAATTTGCAATTGAACATAGTCAAAAAATTATCCATATATTATTATATAGTGTGCAGCGCGATATAACTGTCACGTAAACTGTCACTACTGCACCGCATAGCTACCTCAAGAACCGACTCAGTTAAACGGTAGGCCTGTAGTTTGTTATTGATACAAAGATCGAAAAAAACACTAAGAAAAACTCCTTCTATTCGATTGGACGCGATCTAGCGCCTGTTGCCTAAATGTGGTTACCGCTCTTACTAACTGAGCCATAGATTAAGCCAATGACTCCAGTCGGATCGAAGGAATTTTTCTTTGTGTTGTATTCGATTTTTGTATCACCAATAATAACAAATTACAGGCTTCAATTATTTCTTTCTCCAAGAGATTATTTCGTAAGTTTCTCTGTCACATCATAAGCAGTAATCGGAATTGAGGGAACTGATTTAGCTGAACTAATGAATAACGAGAACATTCCCTTCTACAAATCCCGGGACTTTTCGGAAATGATATACGTATTTATCGCGTCCTTAGATATGCGTATTATTTATTGAAATTTGTGTACATTGGCGAGAAATTATTATTTCCTACAAATTATTGCCTCAAAAAATAATATTGTTACAGTTGTGTTATAGTATTTAAATACTTTAGCCATTTAAAAGATAAATAATAGATAACCTATATTAGACTGTTTAGAATAACAGTAAAAAATAGAAATTTTATACGCATAGGTGACGAAATGGGTATGTCCATTAATTAGATTAATTCCGATCACTGCTTATTAGTCAATAGATTGAACTAAAGATACTTTATTTTTTATGGTTTTCAGTATATTATCATCACTTAATGTAAATAGTACTTAAACCACACTTGTATAAAGATCATATTTGTAATGCCGGTCGAGGTTTGACATTACTTACCTTTTACAGCAATGCAATCTTTTGTGGTAAAAGGAACGCCGAGGAAAGGTTTTTCTTGCTCCAATATTTCGGTGCTTTTAATGCCGCTTCTTACAAGTTCGTCAGCCTCCTTTGCTTCTTTCATTGCGAGTTCAAACCTGTCTTCTACGAAGCAGTTGAGAACGGAGTTCACATCTTTGATCCGTCTTATACACGCTTCTAAAACTTCCACGCTCGTGATCTGAAAGGAATATTAAGTTTTGTATTTGAAAACATCGTTTTTAGTACATACTATCGTTATGTCTATTTACTGGTGGGGAGATATTTGTCATGAATCTGTACTTGCTACGATGGTGGAAATTTTTTACTTTTTCACTTATGCATTATGGGTGTAATGAGTCTATGGAAATTCCACTGCTGCTCGATTTCTTCCACGAATATGTACAATCACACGCTCAATTTATTTTCAACTCAGATTAAATTCAACACTATGCCACTCAAATAAAAACGGTCCAAAGTGTAGAGTAAAGCAGAGAGTGGGTGCTTTCTGTTTAAAAAAAATCGTCTATTTAAAGGTAAAACCATATAAGTGACATTTTCTACAAAGTCTTTCTTTTCGTTCTTCTGCTAGTGAAACTCAACAACAAGAAAACTATAAACTCAATAAGTAGTTTTATTTGCAGAAACATGGTAATTTTACAACAGGTACATAATTTGGAGATTTTTTTGTGTATTTGTGGAATGTCACTTATGTGGTTTTAAGCAGACGAAATTGTAATGTTATTTCTGCAGTTTACAAATTTAGAGTGAGGAATTAAATAGATAAATCTATGAATGTAATCATTTGTATCTATTACAATTCAAATTTTTGTAGTAAATTAAAGAAAAATTAGTGTTGCTCAAATTGGATACATCACGGAGTTTATTGTCTACATTTTCAGGAAAGTGAGAATTCAGATTGACGTCTATTAAACTTGACCTTTTTTTTATGGCATTGTTTTAATGAGATCTTAATTACTTTCCATATAATTTATGTTATACTATACTTTATGTTTAAGATCTTGAATATTAAAAGAAACATTCAGTCCACAGCAATTATTAACAATGACCATGTTCAAATATAAAAATAATATTTCCGTTCGACTGCGAAACTTTTTCATAACATTTACAGATCGATCAGTTTAGTTTCACTGAAAACAATGTATTAAAACGTTGAGTCATATGGGTGATGTAATATTTAATTACTAAAACTAATTTATTTATGCCAGAAGTCGACGCAATCACAATTCCTGAGCCAAAAACCAACTTTCATGCCTTTACATACTAACAGGAAAATAAAATTTATTCCACTGGTCCTATGCACCAAAGCTTGGCTCCCGGCACAGGCCAGATAAAAAATTTCGGCACCCACAAAAAATAATTGAAAACGCACAAGGAAGATAAATCAATATATATATGTATATATATCCTTCCTTCTTTCATACATTCTTGCTTCCGAGGCCCCTACCGCCCTCTAGGACTCTTCAGCGCCCACTGGGGCGGTAGGGCCCCACTTTGGAAAACTATGCATTAGTGCCACGAAACGTTTTAATTTTATCAATCATATAAGATGATGGATTATTGAACGACGAATTATTAAAGGTTGCTGTTAAAAAGAAATCTGGAAAAAACGAGTGAAATCCACAAGCTAAAACTAAATTTAAACAAAGAAACATACAGGTCAAGAACCGCAATAAATTTTAAAACATCTGTTTTAAAGAAGGCAGAAAAACGTCTTTTTTCTCTCTGAAAAAGATTCTGTTATTCTTAACTCTAAAATTAATTACTGTTATTAGAAGTAAAAGTCGATTGATGTGGTCAGTTATTAAATAATTTATGTAGATATAATATATAAAGCGACAGATTGTTCATACTGCTTGACAATTGTAGGTAAAAAGACCGCAGAAATGAGACATTACAGACAAGATTAAATTAAATTAGACTTTATTCATCAAACACACCCACACATATACATAGAACATCACACGATATTACGTACTAACAAATTATAAGCTATGAGCATTGACTTACAATTATATGGACGTCGGGTCCGCGCTAAAAAGTGTCCGAACTTATAGTGCGTTAAATTCGTATACAGAGCGTCATTCACGCTTTAGTCTTCGTTTATTCGACTGACAGCGAAGCAAGAAAAATCAGACAGTACTGCGATGACATTACAATTTAGCTTTTTCATATTCCTTTACATGTCATTACGTTTAAATAGGTTGACTTGGGACATTTTTTTCGTGGCTTTTGTATTAGACCCGTCGTCCATTTATTTGTAAGTCAATGGCTATGAGTAATGAAAAGGACGAAGTCTCAGCATGTGTTCTCTATCGGATATTGTAAAAGACACATTTTTTTAGACAGAAATAAGATAGACTACGAGATTGTAATAAAAAGATTCAACCGTATTTCATGTGTTGATCGCACCCACGAGAACAAAAGCTTCTGCAAGAATATAATGTTTACGTTTAAAAATGTTCGTTCTTCCAAAGGTTCTTCGAACAAATTCTTGTTTAACCACTAATGTTATGTACAGAGGATAAAAAATATGACTCGCGATTTTTATTTCATAAAGTTGTTTCTTGTGATAAGTATTACTAACGGGATTAAGCCTTTTTTACAACTAACAGGTAGGAATTTACCAATTTACTATTGTTCATACAGCCGTGAGCAGCTTGATTTTGATTGCCTCTCCCGATCGGAAACTGCGTCTTTTCCGAGTCGAAGCGCATAATTGCGAATTACAGCCGGCCGATCGGAAACTTTTGACATTTTAAATCAGAACAATAGTTGATTTAACTCACAAATTAGAAAGATATAGTGGGAATCAGGTTCATCTTCTCGCTCGAAAGCTCATCTGATTTCGAAACTCGGATGGGCTACCCGATGGGATCAATTCCGATTTGAATCAAAATCAGCATGCAGGTCACTCTTCGTTGAAAGGTCCTACAACTTTTGACCGTTTCCCTTGTATAGGGCATAATATGGTAAATAACAACTTTCATGAGTTTATCTAAGTTTAAAATTTTACCTCATAAACGTTATACATGTAACGTATAATACTACAAAATACTTTTATGAGATTGAAATAAAGTGGTTTTTATGATGCAGAACAAGCAATGTAATAAAATTACACTATTTTCACATTATAATGCAAGCAGGGCCGGATTTGCCACAGATTCATTAGGCCCCAGCCTAGAGGTGCACCATCTCATGGGACAATGTCAGTAAACGCCAATAAATAAAAGTATTTTTCAAAAAAATCTAAGGCCTAGGATTGTCACTTTAAATCCGGCCCTCAATACAGGGTTTGCTAAAAAATCACCTTTTTTAATTGTTTTTGTTTATGAAATCGTGAAGAACACGTACGTAGTATTAAGTTCATTGTGACTGTTGTAAATATAATTCCACGAACCTAGTGATTACTTAGCCAATCAAGGACACGTAAATTATAAAATAATAGATTGTGATAACCGTTCGTATAAGAAATTAACTACAGACACATCTACTTTATCTAGTATACCTATAGATTTACTGTTTACGGGCATGCACAAATATTTCACCTCGACAATCAGACAATTATTATTCTAATCTTTTGTGTTTAGGCACTCTGGAATGATTGTAGTCTGTGATGTAGCTTATAAATTGTCTTACTATACGTGTTTTGTAGTTACGCTGTTATAACGACTTTCAGGTAAATTAGTGACCTATGAGTAATGTTCTAGGTAGGGAAATAAATTATTCGTTTGGGGAAACCAGCCTGAATAAGGAAGTTCAGCCCTCGTTATTAACAAGGTGTATAGCAGACCTTCATGTTAAGTATGTCCTACACTATAGTGGTTTGAAAGTGAAATGTTTGCTGACTAACCACGGACAATCATAAAATCTGAGTCATAATAATTACTTGCCGGCGATGCCGTTGATACCGGCTGTTATTACTTACTAATAGTGTTAAAACTTTCTTATTGGTTTTAACAATATGATTCATACACACCTCCTTATTCCTGATCTTTCTCGCTACGTCGACAGCCGGTTGTTTCAGGATATCATCAACTATAGGCGGAATCTTCTGTCCTTCTTTTCCATAGTATAAGCCGAAGAAGAATCTTGCCACTATAGATATCGCAAGTCGTACATAGTGCATCACTTTGAGCCTTAGCGGGATTGGCTTTTCTGTTCTTTCTATAGTACTCATGTTTACAAACTTTGACTCGATTCTCTATTCTTAGTTAGTACACAGCGTGTGGACACGATCGATAGAAAATATTGTGTAAAACTTCGAAACAACTGACATAAGCAAGCAAAGAAGCAAAAAATTGCTTTTATTTGATTATATTTAAAAAGGAACTGAACGGCACTCCCTCGGATAGTGCGCAAGTTGATATACTAACTCGACTCAATGAGCGTTGAGCGAATAAACTGTGTAGACTGGTAATACGTCATGATTTCTGTCTCGCTTGTAGATATATTTCGTGACTGCTCACTCTCGAGTAGTTAGTTCGCTTCGTCACGGGTGATACTTTTGTGATAACCACTTCCCGTTTGTGGCTTGCGTCGCTTCAACTCATAACATAGCTTCGTAAAAGTTTACATCTCTACATAAAACACCATTTGCTCGGTGGGTGCAGCTAATGGAGTTCGTTCAGTAAGACAGTATAGACGTTTTATGTTTCTGAAAAGCGTTGGTCGCGATTCGTTTTGGCAAAGACTCCCAATTGTTGTGAAACCTTCATAACATATTGTACTAATAGAAACACGATCTTAACGTATTAGAATACATCACAAATTTTTTTTCATCGGTTACTCGTAATCGAATTCATGGGTTACGATATACATATGTATCTTGGAAATTGACTTCTTTTTATAAAATAAGTGTACCGATAAAATGTATCGAACGACAATATTAACAAATAAAATTCCCTTTAATATTACGTTGATTTCGAAATAAATTGTATCGTTTCATATAGACATTGTAAGAGAAAATCGAACTTAAAATAAATTCTACAAAATAAATATGTACATAAATAAATAGTAAACAAAATTATCAGGGTATGGATATTGTCATTGTCACACAGACAATCGATTTGTCATGTTTCCATAGTCTAAGCATTCGTCGCAATGGATTGGTTGACGGCTCATTGTCTTGTTTCCGAATTCCCACACACAATAATTAACTAACCCAAAAAGTTTGTAATATTTTGTATGCGTATCTGTTTTCAATTATTTAAGGTGCATATGGGTGCATTAGAAAATTGTAAAGACATTCCTAACATTTATATTTTTCTTTCCAGACTAAAATGGACCAGCCACAAACCGCAGAATCGGCGTCGACCAAAAATGGTGCACTCAAAATATCCCTCCCGACCGTCCTTGAACCAACAGAGCAAGCCGATATTCCTGATAAACCGTTCGTTACGTCAGAATCTAAATTATCGTTGCCTTCCAATCTTTCCACTCCGACGTCACCATTGCGATTGTCATCTCCTATGTCATTGCCATCCTCTCCTAGTCCATTCAGCACAGAACAAGACAAATCCACTGCGAGCTCTCAGCTGTTATCGACATCCAAAAGTCAACAGGTCCCTGGCACACCTCTACTCAACACTGGCTCGGCAACGGGTAAGTGCTCCGCGGTAACTTTTTTTTAATTTCCCGTTTTATTGAAGAACGCTCTCATATTCGGTTATTTTGAAATTTTAAAAGCGGATCGTCCTTTTAATTCGTGCTAAAAATCGTCGATCGAAAGTGCACCTAGTCGAGTGTTGATAGGAGACGGACCATAGAAGGCGCGCTCTTGCTTTTATGAGCTAGGTTTAAAAAACATAACGAAATAAATGACGAATTATAAATATAAAAATCAGAATTAAATGCAATTCCAATGCAGGTACAACATTAAATTCAGTTTTATTAATGATATTTAACCGAAAAAAATTCGTTATTCGTGTTCATAGAGTTCATAGAGTCAAACAATTATTGGTTTCCTATTATGAAATTTATTATTCAGTTACGCTCTATCGCCTTTCCTAGCTGACACCGTAATAATTAGGCGCTGTTTCTACTATTTTGAATGTGTAATGACGTCATTAGGTACCTAACATTTTCAAAATTTTATTTAAAACCTTTATGATAATGATTTTTTTTATGATATCGAATGACAGAACGAGCAAATCATACGCCTGGTGGTAACCATGTGGTAATCAATACGCCTGTCCATAACATGTGCAGTGTCACTCAAAGCTTTGAAATTGGAAAGAGCCAAGTCCCGTGTCGCCGTGATTTCACCAGCACGCTTACCCTTCAAAACAGGAACACACTAGGTAATTGTCAGTTATTGGTGGCAGATAGTGACAGTACTTCACTGGACGAACTTTTTCAAAGGAGCTTTACTGCTACTCAAATTTAATCATCATCATCAACCCATTTATACGTCTCACTGCTGGGCACGGGTCTCCTTTCAGACGAGGGTTTTTAGGCCGTAGTCCGCCACGCTGGTCCAATGCGGGTTGGGGACTTCCCACGTTTTTCCGAGGATTGTGAACCTTCTTCAACGTGCAGGTTCCACCACGATGTTTTCCTTCATCGAAAAGCTCATGGTAAATTTGACCCCTCTGCTTAAGAGGCAGTAGGTCAAACCATTAGGCTACCACGGCTTCTATAACTCAAATTCAATAGACAATGTTCAATGTTTAATATTCGGCTTTTACTATATACCAATCGAAGACATCCATTGATATTATAATATCATGTGTCTAGCCTGCCAATAAAAACAGTTGCTGAAGTGTGGCCTTCGCTTTCAGTCATGACAGTGAGCTGAGAAATACCTTCACAACGTACTATCACTATTATTATATAGTCGTAGATACTTCAGTGCCTCTACCACGAGTTTACTGTGACAGTTGTCACTAGCAACCGCGTAAATTACTTCACAGTTTTGTACGGCAAATTATACAGCGCCCCAAGCGGTCACTGGAAGAAACAACATTTTGTATGAGTACATTTTACGCGGTCTCTAGCAATAACTGCCACTGTAATCTCATGGTAGAGGCACAGCTCAGTAAATGCATTAATTAGCTCGTTCGTGATGTCATTGGATTGCCGAGATATTACGCAAATTATTTTCAAATTATTTTCAAATTTCCATGTGTAGTAATTATTACATTTATCACATTGACTTACAATTATAAGTCAATGATTTATCATCTATAATATGCAATTTGAATCTCTTATGTAACTGAACTATATCCGTTTTTTATAATAACGTCAATGTCGAGGTATACAACTTTAAATCCAAATAATTTAAAGAATAAATAATAAGTACTAAATATTTTTGTGTTACTGGTATATTTATCAGTCGTGGCAATTACATATGGAAAATGACATCAGCCAAATGTCCACCTCTTGCTGCGTAACAAATACGTGCCCTTTTCATTACGTTTTTCATTAACTTTTCGCATACTCCTGGCGATTTGTCACACACTCGGATGTTCCTGACTTATTGGCCTGTTAGCACAGACACATTGTCTCAGATAGCTTTACAGAAAAATGTCAGGAGCCGTCAAATCCGGTGATCTCGAGGGCCAATTTTTTGAGATTGACAACGAAACGTTGGTCTCATTCGTCTCATTAATGTCATGTGTCTCATACGTGACATGTGCTCCATTTTGTTAGAACCACATGTCTTCTATACCAATGGATCAACTTGAGGTAACAAATAAGTATTTATCCTCGGAGCGATTTCCATTCACAGTAACAGTATCATCCCTGGTATCTTCAAAGACGTAAGGTCCAATTATTTCTACAATTCCTGAACAAATTCATTATATTCCAAGCTGTTACTCGACGTGTGTGAAGTCGTCATTCATGGATTGACAATGCTTGTCTTCTTTCCAATAGCGAGAATTCTGTTTCCTAACAAACCGACTGAAATCTGAATCTCATCCCTCATAATGATTCTCGGGTGAAATATGGGGATGTGTTCCAATCTGTGTTCATAAATCTGATTTTCAAATTTTTGAGTTAACTGCAACCCGATTAATAAGCCTTCGATTAAATAAAAAATCGTTTTGAGATCAATCCATCCGTTTATGAGCTATGATGCCACAGCGTGTACATGCGATACACAGACTTGAAACTTATAGTTCTCCACTTTTTTTGCGTCAGTTGAAAAATAATTACAGCCTATGTATTATGTATATGTATATGATCACGAGATGCAGAAATTGTTAGAAAAGGATTATAATCACTGAATTCACCACACGCACAGTTTGATAAATAATATTTTCGGTCAAAATTCTGCACCGTCATTTGGAATTCCAGTCTCGTTACAGTTGTTTTGAACGTACTCTGTTTTATTAGTTATGGATATTCAGAAGATCCCCTTCTACGCTTCCTTTCAATATAACGATATCTATTATACCATAAAACAGAGAGTTTACGTCCTACTAAGGAGAACTTATCTCATTGACCAATAAGTCAATGACTTATCTTTAAAAGATATCGAAATCAACCTTTTACGATGGAACCTTTTAAGAAAACTTCAATGTTCAATATCGAATATTTTAAAAATGCATTTTAATTTAAAAGTATCAGATCCACCAGAATCCCACTACTACTGCACCCGTCGCCCTGAGACATGATTTGACAAGTCCCATGTGCTTGTAATCTCACCAGCACCATTACCATTCAAAACCGGAACCCAATAATGCTCACATTATCGCTTGGCGGCAGAAATAGGTAAAATGGCAGTACTTTCCTGGACGAACTCTTTTTCAAGGAGCTCTACTGCTACAAAACTTGACAGAATCAATCATACATGATTCAATTCATTACTTAAAACGGTTGCTGCATTCATTGTGCTTCATATATTCAGAACGTATTATGAGGAAACAAGTTATATGTCACCTTAAACAACATCCTGTTTATTTCAATCACATTGTTTTTCAGTCTATTTCCCCAATTGTAATTGTCTCTTGTCGGCTCAAATGCTTGCTGCGAGGAGTCAAAATATAACGAAGACTATTCTTTACCCATGTTGGTTTCCATAGTCTAAGGCAGTGTTACTCAAACATTGTTCTGCCATGACCCGGTAATTTTCATACTAAACCATTCGGTCCGAAAAACCAAAATCAGTCGATCGCATACAGTTTTTGCCATTCTCAGAAACGATATGTCGACTCTTCTCAGCGTTCGACGTGTTACGAGTGGTACAGGTCGAAATGACTCAAGCGATGTCGAAAACAATACGGACATGGCAACATAGTGGTTACATTATCTTTGAATATGGCAAAATGTCGCATAAAATTTGCCTTTTCAACGAAGGCATTGTTTTGTCACTTAAACGACTTAACGTTCGTTTCATTATGGTTAGTAATTTTTAACCGACTTCAGAAACAAGGAGGAGGTTCTCAATTCGACTGTATTGTTTTTTAATATGTATGTATGAAACGCGATAGCTCGTTAATTTGTGAATCGATTTTGATGATTCTTTTTTTGTTGGAAAGAGGGTATCTCAGTATTGGTATAAAATTTAAAGGAAAATATTCTACCTCTAAGGGTGGCACACTAGGGGATGAATCCGGTTTCGCGCACTTTCCGGTAACCGATTTCAATAAAACTTGGCCAATAGATGTAATTCCACGAACTTTTAAGGTCTTTTTTTTATATAAAAAAGTTATTATAAATAAGACGGATTCTACGGCTTATTAAATATTCTTGATTTGTACATAATTACAATCGATGCCAACAAAGCATGTACTAAAAATAGAAGTTTCAAAACATTTCAATTTGGCATCTCTTTTGATACGGAGAAAAAAAATTTTGTACAGTTGTTTTAGTTATGTTTTCTGTACACATTGAATATGCAATAATATTTTGAGATCGAGAAAATGTCGCAATGAACGAGAATTAGTCCCCTGTACAATTTTAGTCTAAACAACGGAGTTATTCGGCGTTTACGGAAAGAGACGATCATGTTTATTAAAAATGAGCGAAAGAGTTTGTCCAGTGAAGTACTGCCGCCATACCTATTTCTATCGTAAAACAATAATGTGAGCATTACAGCATTTCAGTGTCGAAAGGGTGAAGGTCAGATATTTTTTCTATCAGGTGAGATGGATGTCAAATACGGCCCTATTACGTTTATTAAAAAAAGAAGGGTCCATTGACAGTGCCCCTTGCCTTACATCCTTGCGATTTAAACCTCTAAGTGATACTGCAACTGTTACGGATAGACATGTCGCTGACTACCAAACGCGCAACTTGTTTGTTCCGTCACTTGATAAAAAAAAATTGAGAAAGTCTAAAGGTCCCCATATACGGGACGTTTTAACTTCACTACATGCCGGTTCAGACTGATCGAAACGACAAATTGATAATGTATGTTTATGTGGTTAACGATTAATTTGAACGCCAAGGGATTATCTGTGAACCGATACGCATTAAATAACTGAACTAAAACACCTACGTTACTTTCTTTTGATACTGACATGAGGTACATGCTTTCAAGAAAAACAGAATGGAACGGTTCAAATATAGAATTCTACTATGTTAAACAGTTTATTATGTTAAAAGTTTTAATTGCAGAGCGAAATGATTGGCGTAAAAATTTGAATGAAAATGAA